TTTACTCTATACCATTTGGGTGCAGTAATCTAGATGTTTTGCCAAACCAAGGCAACTACACCCTGGTCATACTCTGAGAGCCCCCACAAAGCATGCAACAAAGACAGATGAACAGGCATGCTAATGCATGGGGCCTAAGATTCCAATATTCCCCTCCTCAAATGCTATGCATGTCTCCGACAGAGGAGCGAAATCTCTGAGACAGCCTGATTATACAAATAAAGCAGCATTATTGTATTTGTCTACCAGGCTGATCACAGGAAATTTGCAATTTATGATGGATTTCACAAATAGAAAAAATAAACAGGCAATATCATTTATTATAGCTGCATCCACATCAATAAAGGGAAGGAGAGAAGAGTGGCAATAATCTGAAGACTTGAGGTAAAACTTTCTCCTGATATAGCCAAGCATTTGAATCAAAATATTACCATACACTAAGAGGTCACTAATTTAATTCTGATGATATTTCCCTGAGAGACTGAGTTGATAGATTATTGTACACTGCAGGAAAATGTCTTTGCTTGGAAAATTAAACTAGTCAAGAAAACAACTATTAAAACCTTCTTACGGTGAGCTGGGGATGTGGCTCAGTTGGTAAAGACCTTGCTGAAATGCAGGGAGCCCTGGATTCCATTCCCAGCACTACATACATGCTGCGTATGCAGTGTAGGCACGGCAGGGCACACCTGTAATCCCAGCCCTTGGGAAGCAGAGGCAGGAGTGTCGTAAACTGAAGATCATCTTCAGCTACTTAGTGAGTTCAAGGTCAGCCCGGGCTACAAGAGTCCCTGACCGAAATAGAGGCTAAACATCACCTAGAGAGATGCCTCAGTGGTTAAGAGCCCTGGCTGCTCTTGCAGAGGCCCCAAGTTCAGTTCCCTGCTCCCACATACGCTGAGTTCCAGGGCATCTGATGTCCTCTTCTGGCCTTCATGAGCACATATACACACAGGCACACACACAAACATACTAAATAAATAAATAGTTTAACTAATATGTTGTAGTCTGGCTTTCTCCAGAAGGCTTCCCTTGCATTTTTTTTTTTTTTCCATCCTGATCACTCATGTTGAAGTTCTGGTCCTGGGTTATGCTTGTCAGTGTTCTGGTCTTTCACGATTACCTGGTCTAAGGTCAGACGGACTCTTAATTGTCATTAGTGACTGGAGACATTTGATTCATGAATTTTTTGGCTCTCTTTCATTGACATCATGAAATTCTGTAACACAGTTTACAGCTCAATTCCTGGGTTCTAATGTGCTCTGGGACTATAAGGAAGCTGCTGGCTTGAAAGGTTTCTGGAGTGCCACAAAAATTATTTCTATTTGCATTTTTAAAAAGATGTATTTGTTTTTATTTTATGTGTACGAGTGCTTGCCTGCATGTAAGTGTCCCAAGTGAATGGTCCATGTGTGTTCACACAAGCACATCACACATGTGGGAAGAAGGAAGAAAGGAGGGAGAGATGGAGGGAAGGAACAAGTGGGAGAGAGAGAGAGTTTTCAGGAATAGGCACTTTTGCATTATTAGGATTTATTGTGCAAATTGCTTGCAACCTATTAGGCATCTCAGCACTTTTTTTTCTCTCCGAGACCTTCATTTGTTCTCATTATTCACCAGCCCAGCACCTCAATACAATGGAGGGGTAACCACAAAACTATGCCGAAAAGAAAATTAATAATTACTACAAAGGCTTCCTCATCTTGCTTGAGTTTATGAATTTCGGCTCCATTATATGGAAGTTAGAATATTTAACAATGAGGAGGGAATCCTTAATTGATTTTTTTATTGCTTCAACTGCTCTGAAGACATATTGTGTTTTGTCGTCATTTACATTTCATATTAAAATCAAAATATGTTTGAAATGAGCAAATATTTATTTTCATTTGATCCATCTGTTAAGTGAAATACTAAAAAGACAGCTAAATCACTATATTAAATTCAGTGGTTTGTAAACAATTTATCTGTTCATTTGCTCTGGGTTAAAAATGCCCCCAAGCACAAGTTTATGAAACCCACAAAGCAAATTGTATCATATTAATCTAATGGATGTAAGTCATGGTTTCCTCCTCTTCACTCCATTAATTTACTCCCTAACTTGAGTTAATTAGTGTTTTTAAAAGTTCTTTGAAAGGCGTTGGGGAGGTGTCAGCATTTGCCAGTGCCCACTTTGAAAACCTACTGCAGAGAAGATGGGCTAAATACAAAAGGCAAATTTCTTGAGATCGTGTCACACAGTGAGTACCTGACTGTCAGTCAAAATGTCTATGCTGGGAGCCAGTGGGTGATTAATGCATAGTTGTTAGAAAGAATAAGAAGTCTAGCAGGGAAGGAGAAAGAGTAAGGAGGAACTCATTTGAAGCAATTACTACTGTGAGAAATGAATTCCAGGGGGCTGTCCATCTTCAAATAAAAGTCTGGGGTATTTGACCGTTTATACGCCAAGCAGAGACTGCCGTTTATCTGAACCTGGACTGGGAGATTAACTACCACCCCCACAGAGAAACAGGGAAAAACAAAAACAAAACCAGAGATTGGTCAGAGAGTAGAGTAGACACTAAGGAGATGGCTCACTGGCTAAGAGCACTTGCTGCCCTTCCAGAGGACCCATGTTCAGTTCCCAGAACCCACAGTGGGGGCTCACAACTGCTTGTAGCACCTGCTCCAGGAGACCCAATGCCTTCTTCTGGTCTCCGTGGGTGCGTGGATGCGCAGACACATATTCACACACACATAAACATACACTTGAAACAGACAAAAATAAACTCTTTAAAGTATAAGTTATAGCTAACAGTGGAAGCTGTGTCTAAGTGGAATTAGAAGGAAAGGAAACTTTACAGCAAATGTTCAAGCAAGCCAATTCAATTTCTGAGACTGTTGGCTTCAGTGCCCTTGCCATGTCCTAGGTCCATTATCTCACAAGCTCCAAATTCCTACTCTATCCAATGGGCACATGTATTACCCAGCCCAGCTGTGGCAGAAGAGAAGGGTAAGGGGCGTCAAGAGTAACGTATGAAAGACTGGGGGCTACAAGCAAGGAGCAGCGCACACAGTGGACAAGTATAAGAAAGTGAGCACGCTGCAAATGTCCCACCAAAGATCACAGCTCCAAGGACTCAGGGCCGTAGGAGGTCTAATCTTCTTTCCTCCCCCTCTCCCTGGCCCCTTTCCTAGCTTGGAAATGACCTCTTTCTTAGTAAACTGTCTGTGTTTATACCGCTATCTAAATATCCTTGATCCGATTCCCTGTTGCAGAATACAAGAACCCAGAAATCCCAGCTACAGCGTGGGGAGCTCTTTCCCAGACAGTAACACAGCCCTTGATGCCAGACGGTCATCCAACTCACTCAAATGGGGTGTTGCCATTTTCTACAGACTTACATTAAAATTGGGTCAGCAGCTGACACACCTTCAGCCAAAGGAAGGGCTGACCTAAGACCCAAGTACCTGAACCCCAGGCCTTGGACTGGTCATTCAAGTTTCTGACACCCAAACAAACAACCCCAGGATTGATTTCTCCTGGAACACCTCACTAACAAGGAAAAAAAAAAAAAAAAGAGAATAGAAAAATGTTTACAATCTCAACTCTCCCTTGACCCAACTCCCACTCATATACCTAGGACGTCACCTTTTCTTTGTTTTTTTAAGGCTTTGGTGACACACACTACAGATGTCTGGGTCAAAATCCTGACTCTCGGGGGTCAGCGACAAAGCCCTTCTGTTTCTTGTTGTTATTGTTGTTATTTTGTATTATTCCTTTAAGATTTTAAAAAATATTTTTCGCATAGGTGTGTTTGTCTGCATGAGTGTTTGTGAATGTTGGGTGTAGGTATCCAAGCTGCCCAGAGCTGGAGTTATAGGTGGCCATGAGCCACTTGACGACAGAGCTGGAGCTCTCGCAAGGGTCCTCTGGAAGAGCCACAACTTCTCTTTACCTGCTGAGCCATCTCTCCAGCCCTTAATTCAGGCTTTTATTTATTTATTTATTTTTGGTCTGGTTTTTGTTTTGGGGGTCTCATGGAACTCAGGGTGGCCTCAAACTCACTAGATAGCCAAGGATGACCTTAAACTTCTGATCCTCCTGCTTCTACCTCCCAAATGCTAGGATTACAAGTGTGGGGCATCACACTGAGTTTACCGAGTGCTGGGGATGGCCCTCAGGGCTTCCTGCATGCTAACCAAGTGCTCTGCCATCATCCAAGCCCCATCTCCAGCCTCTAAAGACTCTCTTCTGAAAGTTGAGGGTTTTTCATATCACCAGCTTTCTACAAATAGTTCCCTTAAGCTCAGAGAAGGTCTCCAGGTTCAAATATTTGCATCACCACCAAGTTTTGGAAGCAAAAGGCTCCCCCCACCCCCATCTCTGCACCAGAAGTGGGGGCATGCAGAAATGTTCAGGCCAAGTCCTCAGATAAACAGGAAGGCCTGCTGTGTTTCACTGTTCTGGGAAGGCACAGTCCCATGGCCCCAGCAGAGAACCAAGCAGGGCGAGCTCAAGTGTATGTCAGACTGGCCAGATAAGAGCTCCAGTTTCTGAGTGACTCTCAGATCACTCCCGCCAGAAATAACAGTCCAAAGAGCAAGTAATGCTGACAAGCCAGCCTCTTCCGAGGAGGAGAAAACTTGGGGACAAAATTTCCCTTCCTGACTAAGACCTCTGGCCTAAGGATCCAGTAAGATAAGTTCTTCTCTTTATCGCTGAAGAACTTGTCCCTTTCCAAAGGAACTTTCACCTGTCTTGGATGACTTAACTTGTCCCTCTTATCACCCAGCTAGTTATCCACGATACCTTGTTTATAGCCTGAAGTCACAGAAATGATGTACCAGACCTTTCAATGTCATAGACCACAGATTTCCTAATCACCAAGAAGAGACATATCCCCACACACCCGGATGAGCACCAAAGCCCTTATTTAGCTACCAATTTTTTAGCCTCAGTGAACTTAGGATTTTCACTTCTCAGGCCAGAAGGCCCAGGTTCCCCTGAGACGCGGACTCACTCAGGAATATGATGGTCTGTTTCCTAGCTGTCCGGCTCTCCTCACTCTCTGACTTCCTCAGCTGCAGCTGTGGCCCCGTGCCTGGCAGAGAGCACTTCTTGCTCCTCATTAGCACTTTCATCATATTCCAACACATGAAAGCCACAGACACCAGGACCACCAGGTAAACGGCGAAGGCTCCAAAGATGCTGGACTGGAAGACAACCCAGCGGCTGGAGAGGTTTGTGCAGATGGACATATTGGAGCTCTCAGGTTGCTCATGGTGGCGGGTGCGAGAGAGGTTGCAGCTGAGTCCTTTGTGGGTGGGCACAGTCACCAGAGGGTACTCGATACCCATGGCAAAGAGCAAGGGCAGCGCCACCAGGGCGGAGGTGACCCACACAAAGCCGATCAGCAGTTTCACCTGACAAGGTCCAGACACGGCCTTGTACCTGAAGGGATGGCAAATGGCAATGTAGCGCTCAAAGCTGAGGGTCAGCACGTGCAGCAGCGTGGCGTAGCTACACGTCTCAAAGAGGAACGTGTGGAGCTTGCAGGACAGCGTGTAGCTGGGCGTGGTCAGGGGGTTCCAAATGATGCTGTAGAATTCCATGGGCATACCAATCAAAAAGACCAAGATATCTGAACAGGCCAAACTGACCATGTGATCTGTCACCTCCTTCTGCAAATAGCCCTTTTTCTGCAATACCTGCGTAACCCGGATGGTGACGCTGTTGCCCAAGATGCCCACCACGAAGATGACCAGGTACACCAAGATGAGGGTGATTTTGATCCAAGTGGCCACCTCAAATTCAGGGACCTGGCTGTGATCGATGACATGGGAGCAGACCTTGCTGGAGCTACTGGATGAAGCCATGAGGACGAGAGATCCCGACCACCAGGTCCGCAAATGTCTCCACTTCTCTTTCTTCCGCCTCCAGAGGAAGCCCCACAACTCACCAGCCTGGGCGCACCACTTTCTGTCACCGGGGTTGGCTGCCTAAGGGTGACTTAGTTTTTCGGCTCTGCCATTGAAACTTCCTGGAATTATTCACCCTGGCGGCGGCAGTGGGTGGCGGTGGGATTTGGAGAGAGTTGCGGCTGGGGGTGAGGAGGGACCATTCAGGGGAAGGAGGCTCAGACCTTCCACGCAACTCTGAATGAGACCCGCAGTATTCTCCTTGGCTGTGGATCCTCTCCCTTCCAGGTCCCTGGCACTGGCCTTCCCGGCTGCCTTCCAGGAGGGAAGCTAAGAAGTCTCCCACGGGTCAATCATTAACCAGAGCTCTTTCTGCTCAGCAGCCTGCTTTAGGACCAGCCCAGCCGCAGGGTCTGACTCAACACAGAGATTGTGGCAGGAAAAGGAACAGCACCTCCCTCCTCTAGCAGCAGGGTCCAGGCCAGCCTTTGAGGTTCCTCTCTCCTGGAGTAGGGGTGGCATGTGGGAAGCTGGAGGCCACTCCTGGCCTTAAACAGAGACAAACTGAGTCACTAGACCGGTCTCCACTGGTTCAGATGTCTGAGGTGGCGCAGGACTACTTTGGCTGTGGCTTGCTCCGGAGGATCTTCTCCCAATAGTGCTCAAATAATGGAATTCCCAGGTATTTGCAGTGAATTACTAGCTTGAAGTCAGCTCCTACCAGGCTAATAAGATCCTTTTTGATGTCTGGCTTGTCTCCAAGCCTTCCAGCTTACAGCAGTGAGAGCTGTCGCCTCGCCATCCTGTCCAGGGACCGGAAGAGCTGCTGTTGTTTGGAGCCATTCTCTCCCTAAAGGTGGAACTCCCCACGAGCGGGGAATGCGGATGGATACGAAGGGTGCCTGTGTTCCAGATGCCAGGTTAGGGAAGCACATCTTTCAGGGGAAGCTGTTTTCCAAATCTGAGGGCCACAGCAGGAGCCTGCCGGCTCTCACAGAGGCTCACTGTTTAAAAAAAGGCGGAGGGATTCTAATGGGCAGTTTCAGCCTTTCAGTGTAAAAATCCTACCTAACTCTAAAATCGAAAATGATGGTGGGCGCAAAAGAGGAGTGGACCTGTGTGTGTGTTGAGGGATAACCAGCAGTCAAAATGTTTGCAGACATTGCTAGGTGGAGCGGTTGGAGCGGTGGGAGGGTCGCCCTAAGCTGAGCACTACTGTTCTGAATAAATAGATCGCTTTTTGAGTCCCTGCCTATCCTGACAACAGCTTTTCCTTGTTGCCTTGATCAACATTTTAAAGACAAAAGATAGGCTGAGGACCCTTGAGTCACAAAATCACTTTCTTGGTTTTCTTTTGTCTCTGTTTTGTTGAGAAATGGTTTCATGTAGCCCAGGCTGGTCTCCAACTCCATGTAGGCTAGGAGTACCTTAAGCTCCTGACCCTTCTGCTTCCCCCTTCCAAGTGCTGGGATTACAGGCAAGAAGCACCACCCTTGTTTCAAGAGGTGTTGGGATCTAGGGCTTCATTCTGGACAGACCCTCTACCAGCTGAGCCACATCCTCTGCCCATGTATAAAATCTTAAGGAGCAGTCCAGTTCGCATAGACGGGAATCTGCGAAGGGCAGTTCACAGGGCCGAGGAGGAGAACAAAGTGCACCACGGGGAGCTGGTTTGCAGTTGTGTAGGGTGGGCTGACCCAGATATCTAACCTAAGGCAGGACTTGCATTGCCAGTACTTTGAGGCTCAGTAAGAAGGATACTAAATTGACTACAGGTGCAAAACAAACACACAGTCACTCTGGAGGAGACAAGGAATCAAGAGATCTTTTCGCTGTGCATTTTAGCTTGTTTTGTGTTGCCATGGAAAAAGACTCCACCTAAAAGCAACCTGAGGCAGAAAGGGTTTATTTGATTTACACTGCGAGGTCAGCTATGGGGGGAAGCCAGGGTAGGAACTGAAACAGAAAGCATGGAGCAAGGCTGCTTGCTAGCTTGCCCACGCTCGTGTTCTGGTAGCTTCTTTCTCATACAGCCCAAGACTAACTGTCTAGGGATGGGATGACCCACATTGGGCTGGATGACCCCATTGTAGAAGAATGAAACTAGATCCATGCTATCACCCTGCCCCAAAATCAATTCCAAGTGGATCAAAGGCCACTTTGTGCTGAATTACTAGCAGAAAACAGACACAGGTGCAGAAAGGGATTTTCTGAATACCACTCTATAGCTCCTCGGTTAGGGGTGGGTCCACACGGACCTTTCTCCCATAGAGGTTGGAATGCTGACTGACTCGATTCTCAGCAGGGCTTGTGCGAGTGACATCCCTGAACAAAGCAGTGGTGAGCTCATGACTGCAATGGCCTAGTCGTGTCTAGAAGGCAGCGTTTTGTGACACTCCTCCACATTCTCTGGCTCTTATGTTCTTTCCACTCTGTCTTCCTCATGTCCCCTCGGCCTTTGGCACATTGATGTGGATCTTCCATTGATCACTCAACAACCATCTATTCTCAGCACTTGACCACCTAAAAGTCACTGTCATTTCGCTGTGTTAGGATGTATTTTATCTTAAAAAGTGTGTGTGGGGGTGGGTGTGGGTGTGCACTGGCATGTACGTGAGAGCATGTGAATGCAGGTGCCCACTGAGTCACGCAGAGAACATTAGAGCCCCTGGAGTTGGAGTTAGAGTTAGTTGTGAGGCTGCCAACGTTGGTGCTAAGAACTCAGGTCTTCTGCAAGAGCGGTGCACACTCTCAACTCCTGAGCCATCGCTAACCACCCAGCGCGGCAGTAAAATGCTAATTTTCCCAAAGGGTTTATTTGACAGTCGAGAGGCAAGGGCATGTAAACTGAAGGACAACATAAAACAAAAGTTGCTAATGCAGACAACAAACCCATTTATAACAGCATTAGAAAGCATGAAATAGCACTGAAGAGATGGCTCAGATGATAAAGTGCTTGCCTTGCAAGCCTAAAGAACTGAGTTTGATCCCCAGCAACCACAGTAAAGTCAGGAGTGGGACTGGAGAGATCAATCAGAAGATAAAAGTGTGTAGTGCTTTTGTATCTGTGCTCTTGTGAAGTTCAGTTCCCAGGACCCACACCAAGCGTTCTGAAGCCATCCAAGCTCCAGCTCCAATGTCCTCTTCTGGCTTTAGAGAGCACCTACACTCGTTTGCACATGCCCAGCAGAGGCAAACACTTGTAATCTCAGCACTGAGGAGGCAGAGACAAGCAGATTCTGTGGGCTCACTGGCCAGCCAGCCCAGCCAGGCTCGCACACTTGAAGAGTTCCAGTACAATGAGAGATTGCTGTCTCAAGATAAACAAGATGGGTGGCTGCTAAGAAATGACACTGGCAGCTGACCTCAGCCCTTCACCCAGAAACACACACACACACACCAAAAGAAAAGATGAAATGCAAATAAATTCAACCAAGAATGTGAAATGCTTGCACACTGGAAAGCATAAAATGTTGATGAGAGAAACTGAAGAAGATACAAATTTAGTTCCTATTTGCGGATTGGAAGAATTAACATAGTAAAAGCGGATTCTATCCACAGTTGCATACAGATTCAGCATAACCCCTGTTGAAATTCTAGTGGTGTGTATATTCACAGAAAAAAAAAAAGATCAAGAATTCATATGGAAACTACTGAAGACCTTGAATAGCCAAAATCAATCTTGACAAAGAAAAAGCTGGATGCACCACAGCTCCTGTTCAAATTATGTTAAAGGCTATGGTAATTGAAGCTGTTTCTATCTGTCTGTCTGTCTATCTATCTATCTGTCTGTCTATCTATCAAGGGTGGGGGGACTAAAATACAAACCAAACACACATACACACACATATACAGAGAAAGAGAGAGGAATACAAACAGACATAGACCAGTTGACTAAAACAGAGAATCCAAAATAAACCCAAGCATATACAGCCAAGTAATTTCTGATAAGGCAACTCAGAAAACACGATATAGGAAGGACAGTCTTTGCAGTTTGTGGAAGGAGAAGTGGACATCCTCTTGCAAAAGCATGGCACTGGGGCCTTGACCTTTAACCCTGAGCACAAAATTTAAGCATGTTGCCCGAAGGCTGGAGAGACAGCTTGCCAGGCCCCAAACTGGTTGCCTCACGACCATGTGTAACTCCGCTCCAGGGGCTATAACATCCTCTTCTAGTATTGGAGAGCACCATATACATATAACATACATTCAGCATGCACACATGTGCACACACACACAAGCAAAACAAAAATAAATCTTAAAAAAAAAAAACCCACAAGCCTCCACATAGTTGTAAGAAACTGCAGGTCTCCTAGAAGGAGGAGGAGACTGACCTTGGTAAAGTTTATTTTTTTAGATATCATACCAAATGTCCAGGCAACAAAGCAAAGGTAAACACATAGGATTATAGAAAATGGAAATGAGGGCGCGTACCTTAGGTTAGGAGAAGATGTTCTCAAGCAATAAACCAACCATTGGTATCCAAGATGCATCAGGAACGACAACGCCAGAACAGTGAAGAAACAAACCCAAATCCCACAACTAACCCAACTTTAAAATGGGCAAAACTCCTCTAATAGCTGGAACCAAGCCAGAGTGGCCACTCTCTCTACTCCTAAGGCTCCATGTATCTCTTCTGTGATTGTAAGGATTACCAATTTTACAATCAAAATCAGCCCCCATAGGAAGAGTTAGTATAATTTCTGTTTTTATCTATTGTGTGTGTATGTAGATGTTCATGAGTTCCTACGTGTGGATGTGGGCTTGCATGTGCCACAGAGTGTGTGGAGGTCAGAGGACAACTCCAGGTCTCAGTCCACACCTTTGTTTGAAGGTCTCTTCATCATTTTTCTACTGCATGTGCTAAGCTAACTGGCCTATAAGCTTCCGGGGATTCTCCTGTCTCCTCCTCCCATCTCTCTGTGGAAATGCTGGATCATACATGTGCATGCTCTTCACTGGGCTTTTACATGGGTTCTGGGTATTCAAACTCAGGTCCTGAGACCTGCACAGCTATGTTTTTTACCCACTAACCCATTTCCCCAATCCTCTTCCTCTACTTTTAAAATAATCTTCACTCCCTTGAGAAAATATTAGCAGTTTGACAAGTATGAGAAAATAAAGTCTTTCATGAGTCCTCCTCTCAGACTTCCTTCTAAATAAATTCTCCTTTGTGCAAACAAAAAATGCAACAAAGAATGAAGGACAAATACATACATACATACACACACACACACACACACACACACACACACACAATCCAAAACTCAAGTGACATCTTGTCCTCATCTCTTTGACCTAGACACAATCTGAGCCTCATCGCTAGCCTTTACACTGATGGGAGACAGACCTTGCAGAGAGGAACACAGCTGTGTACAGAAACAACCAGGAGGCTCAAGTCTGTGACTGAGAACATTGTATTCAGTCTGGGCCCAGGAGCCTTGGCAGATGAAATCAGCATTAGCTACTATTTGCTGTTGTGCTTTCAATGCGGAACGCCCCCGCCCCATAGGCTCATGTGTTTAAACAATTGGTCAGTGGCTGATGGCACTGGTTGGAAAGGTTGTAGAACCTTTAGGAGGTGCAGCTTCTTTGGAGGAAGTCAGTTCCTGGAGTCTAGTCTTGAGATTTTATGACTTGGTCTCATTTTCTGTTCACTGTGCTTCCCAACAAATGTAATGTGACCCTCTGGTCTTTTACTCTTGCCATCATGCTGGATGGCATGATGGAATATATCCCCTTAAACAGTGAGACAAAACAAACCATTCCTTATTTAAATTTGTTTGTCAGGTATTTTGTCTTAACAATGAGAAAAGGAACTAATACACCTATCATGCGGCTTGGCCCCTTCTTTGAGCTGTTGGGTAATAAGCCTAGAGTCGTTGAGATGTTCTCCTGACAAACTTAATGCTCAGGTTGTCACAAATGTATCCCATCATGAGCCATTTTATTATCACCTGCTCAAGGGCTCTAGAACTTGTGAGCTTGAACTAGCTAAGAGAGAGGAGAGAAACATGTCTGGGCTGGTTAGGTTTGCCATCATTACAGGATTGAGCAGGCAAGATGTATGGATTTATTTCAGTGTAATAAGGACATGACAGCAAAATCTTGATAAGTTAGAAAGGACAAGAGTAAAAGTGATTCTAAAACATGGTTGGCGTCACTGTTACTCTCATGGACTTCCTGGAAATGATGGGCCCACACATAAAAAAGACCACAGAGAGAGAGATTCAGAAACTACATGATCCATTCCTAAAGGGAAAAGAAGAAACTTTTTTAGGGAGACACTCAAGATCCTTAAATCCTGATGTCTTAGTTAGCTCTGTCAACTTTACACATTCACCCTAAAGTCATGGGAGAAGAAAGACCCTATTGAGGAACTGCCTGGATCAGACTGACCTATAGGCATGTTTGTGGGGGGTTGTCTTGATTATAAATTGATGTAGGGGGACTGAGGCCACTGTGGGTGGCACCATCATGGGCTGAGTAGTCATGGTCTATTTAAGAAAGCCAGCTGACTGAGAGTGTGAGCAAGCGAGTAAGTAGCATCCTTCATGGTTTCTGCTTCCCTATCTTACCATGAGTTCCGGCCCTGACTTCCATCAATGATAGACTGTGACCTGGCATGATATGCCTAATAAACACTTTCATCTTATAAAATGAAGTAAATCTTTCCCTCCCCTAAGTTGGTTTTGGTCATAGTGTTCTAAATCCTATGTGTTAGCAACAGAGAAGAAACTAGAATCGTTTGTGATTGCTTAATGCATGGAACATGATGCTAAAATTCCTTCCTTCCTACCTTCCTTCTTTTCTTTCTTTTTTCCTTCCTTCTTTCATTTTGTTTTGTCATTTTTTTTTAAAGACAGAGTCTTACTGCATATACCAGGCTGGCTTAGGACTATGTAGCAAAGGTTGTCCTCAAGCTCACAATCTTCCTGCCTCATTCTTTAAGATTCTGAGGTTATGGGGATGAGCCACTTCCTGCTCCTAGTTTGCTTTCTTCATGATACACATTGTGGGATTTCTGAACTATCACCAGCCGTGCAGCTGCCCAGAGATCACCGTACCAGGAAGAGGATGCGGTCAGACCTTATAGCTATCTCAGTCAGCCTACAGCTCTATGAGTGAACACCTTCAAACCTCTAGGCAGATGAATGAGCCTTCAGCTAACAGCTCCCATCCTTCACTCCTCCCCAGGTGATGCCAAGAGAACCAAAATGACCTCATCTTGCTGAGTCCTGTGTGAATTTCAGATTCTTGATCAAAATAGATGTGTTCATGTTTTGAGGAAACATATATTGGGGTACCCTTTATGTATCCTTAATAACTGATCCCAACACTATACTCAAAAAAGGGGGTTGTTGTTGGTTTTTTTTTTTTCCTGAACTCCAATTCTCTTGTATGTTGTGTCCAGGAAGAATGATGTTCTACCTTCATCATGAAATGTATGTGTTCTCCCTATGTTCACTTTTCAGTCATTTAACAAACACTGTGAAACACCGCGTGGTAAGACTATTACAAAGACATCTCCTTTGTCCCTTGGAATCTCACCATCTACAGCAGCTGTTCTCAACCTGTGAGTCACAACCCCTTTTGGGGTTAAGTAGCTCTTTTACAGGCGTCACCTAAGACCATGCTACATAGCTGATATTTACTTTACAATTCATAACAGTAGCAAAATTGCAGTTAGGAAGTCGCAATGAAGATAATGTTATGGTTGGGGTCACCACAACATGAGGAACTGTACTAAAGGGTCTTAGCATTAGGAAGGTTGAGAATCACTGGCCTAGACAAACATGGAAATCACTGAACTGGTATACTGGTATTATTAGAGGGATAGTGTCCAGTTCCACACACTCTTCAATCCTCTTACAAATCCTATCTGGGCCATAACAGCTTTTCAGCACAGCCCAAATAATTCCCCTCTCCCAATACCAAAAATTGGATAGCACATAAAAGTCATACAGCGAGAGCTGACTATCCACACCATTTCCCAACTGCATGTTCAGTGACTTTATCTTCCTCTCTCTCCCTCTCTCTTTCTCCCTCTTCGTCCCCCTTCACCTCCTTTTTAAAACAGGGTCACACCATATAGTTCTGGCTGGCTTGAAACTTGCTATGTAGACCAGAGTGTCCTCAAACTCATAGAGATCTTGCTGGCTTTGTCTCCCGAGAGCTGGGATTAAAGCCATGTACCATTCACTACATCTGACTTACATTAATTTCTTTAAATTGATCGCCTAAAAGTATTTACCTCGGAAATCTTGAAAGGGCTGCACTGAGGCTTTCTACCTTATTCTTTTTCTACTTGCAGAGCTATTTTCTGTTTTCTAAATATTTTATTAGCGTATATAACTATAGATAGTATTTCATGACATTTTCATATACATATACTGTATTTTAATCATAGTCACCCCTTAACACCCTCTCTTGTACTTTTCACACACACTGATCCTCTTCTCCTTTTCAGCTAGTCTTCATTATACTTTCATGTTTTTTTTTTGTTTCTTTATAAATCAATAAGATTAATTGATATTGCTTATGGGAGCATTGTTGACCTACCAGTGGTTACACCACTGAAGAAAATCTCCCTCCCACCCATTAGGTGTACACAGATCCTCAAGGAATCCCCCCCCCCCACAGGAACCATGAAGAGTGAGATCTTAAACATTGGACATCACGTTTCTAAAGATATCATTCACCTGGTATCTGTAAACGGCTAACTTGAGTGATAGATGATGTTTTATCAAAAAAATAAAATAACCAATTTGTGTGTCCTTCCCTCTTAGCGTTCCTTAGTTGCCTATAGTTCTTATGCAGAGGTATAGTGAGGATCCTCACCCCCCCACCATCTACATTAGTATGTCCATTGCTATTGTCGATGTAGAGGTCCTGTTTAGTCAGTCATTCTGGTGAGACCTTATGGGTGTAGCTTCTGACTTTACTAGGAAACACAATCTCATAGCTAACTTTAATCAATTATCCAATGCCAAATTGTCAGTCCTTAGACATGCATACAAGTAACATTATACAGACTGAGCAGGTTGCATTTAGGATTACATATTTACATATAAATATGTATATATAATATATAAATGTATATTTATACATACATGTAACAACAATTAATGAAATAAGAGGCCATAAACTTGGAAGAGAACAAGAACGCAAGAAAGGGTATATGGGGGGGGGTTGGAAAGGAGAAAAAAAAACAGAGAAATTATGTAATTATAATCTCAAACAATTAAAAAAAACAATTTTAAATGAAAATTACCCAAATATGGTATGATAAATAAAGACAGAAAATACAAAGTAAATAATCAAGCAAGATAAAAACATCCAGTTGTATATTTCCAAATAACTAAAAGAGAGAATTTTAAATGCTCTTGCCACAAAGAATTGTTAAGTATTTGCTACTGAACTGCATTCTGATTAGCCCAACTTGATAATCCAAAACATGTTGAAAGATCCTGAGGTACCCTGCACAATTATTAGTTGTCAGAAAGAAAGTAAAACTTTGAAAAATAGATCTTCTGGGACTGCAGCTCTTTTAGGAAATAATTGGCTGTGTTGGTAGAATGCCGATAAGGGCTCCCTAGGCTGCGGAGAATGCTACTGGCTGGGAGTCACTTGGCTCCATTCTGGACAGTTTGCTGGCTGCTGGAGCCTCTGCATCTGCATGACTCCGGCAAGCCTGCCAAGGTGGTTTGTAGATAAGCTTAAGCAATGCTAGGAGTTTCTGGACCCAGACGCTGCAGAGCACTCATTGCTGAGACTCGGCTGTGGTGACTAGAGTGAGAGCTGAGGGAAACACAGGGCAGTCCCACCAGCTCATCTGCCGGGGAAGAAGAGGTGCGTCACATTTCTGGAAGAGAATAACATTTCCCATCTTGTGGGCTGAATTTGTCCATACCGAAAGAGGTGTGGACTGCTGCCCTTGTTAGTCTTAACTGTCAACTTGACAGAGCCTTGAGTCATCTGAAAGTGGAGCTCCAGTCAAAGGCTAGGTCAGACTAGCCTACGAGCACATCTGTGGGGAATTGTCTTGATGGTTAATGGACATAGGAGGCCTAGTCCATGGTGGGCAGTATGATTCCCTGGGCAGGTGTTCCTGGGCCTTGAAAGAAAGCAGGGTGTGAATGAGCTAGTGAGAGAGACAGCAAGAGAGCCATGGTGTCTGCTTCAAGTTCCTGCTTGAGTTGCTGCCTTGACTTCCCTCAGTGATGGATTGTGACCTGTAATCCTTTCCTACCATAAATTGTTTTTGGTCATAGTGTCTTATCATAGCAACAGAAAGGAAACTGGAGTAACATCCTACCTCCAACCAACACTAAAACAGCCTTATTTAGACCTAAAAGTCTTTGCACATAATGGAGTTTAAGTTGAAATGATCAGAGTGGATCCTAATGCAACATGACTAGCATTCTTGCATCAAAAAGAGACAGTGGCTAGAGCAAAAAGCCAAGGGAGACAAACACAGGGACAGTAACAAGTGCAAGTGGCAGGCTGGATCTGGCCCAGGGGCTTTATGTAGCTTGGCAGCCCCACAAGCAAGATTCTTCCCTTAAGTAATGTGTGTCCATGGGTTGGAGACCTGTTTCCCTGTGGATTCTTCTCCAGTGATTGACAGAAAAAGCTGACTTCTCTCAGAGAGGGCAGGGGGAAGGAGAGAGAGCTGCTTCACCCAAGGTCAGAGTGCCTTCTGAGGGCATCCTAGGTCAGGGACTGGCAGGGCATGGTGATTTGGAGTGACATGGGGACTCCACACTGGCCCTGCTTCTCCCATTAACCAAGCAGATGGGGAGATCTTACCAGTTGACTTGGTGCACTTTATGGTTCTGTCCTTCTCCAGCTAACTTTGTCCTATGATCTTAAAAATGTTCCTTCAATAATAGAATCAGGAATGTGTGATAGTTCAACTGGACCATCAGCTTGAGTGGACTGAGATGTGCTGGCTCTGGATGTACCTGTGAGGGTGTGTCCAGAGATTACTGAGCAAAGTAAGCTGTGATCTGCAAAACCATCCCAAGGGCTGAGGGCCCAGAAAGAACAAAAGGGGAAGAGAGACACAGGAGCACAGAAATGTTCTCCTTCCCACCATCTCTTTCTCTCTCTCTCTCTGTGTGTGTGTGTGTGTGTGTCCTCTCAAGAGCACATGTACACGCATGTGTCTTTCTTTCCCTGTCTCACTTGTACCTGGCAGCCATGCTGTGAACTGCTCTTTCTGCCTCACACACCTTCCTTGCAAGGATGGACTGAAATCTTTGAATCTGTGAGCCAAAATGAAATCTTTCTCCTTTGTTTCACTTGGGTATTTTTGTCACAGTAAAGAACTAACACAGAAAGGACTCTCTGAGTCCCACTGGAAATGTTCCCAGTCCCAAGCCATACATTGCTTTCTCCCCTGCGTTCCTTTATTCTTTTATTGTTCTGTTCAAGTTTCAATTTTTTTTAAATGATGAGAGTACTGTATTAGTTAATTTTCTGTTATTGTGATGAATACCTGGACAGAAGACAATTTAGAGAAGTACTTCATTTTGGCTAACAGTTCAGAGAGGTACAATCCATTGTGATGGAGAAGACTTCACAGCAAGAACATGAGGCTATCCTGGCAGTCAAGAAGCAGAGTGGCCACATTCCATCCTCAAACAAGAAAAAAAAGAGAAAAAAACAGGAAGAGTCAGGAGGTGAAAGCTCAAACCCTGCCTCCTGTTGATTCACTTCCTCAAGCAACAGGTGCTGCATCAAAACATAAAATATGATTGCTGGGAGTTTTTCTGTATTACTTTGTCCAAGTTGCAGCACCCTTCTGCAACAGAAGACTTTGGGGCTTCACAAAACTCAAGAACTCCTACATCTCACCTGACTCCGGAAGTTCTAAGATTCCTAAGGTCCCCATATGGTTATAAAACCATTGAACAATAGAAGTGGAAAAGGTCTTTTTCATTAGTCAAACAGCTTACACATACCGCAGGGAGCTCTCAGAATACAGCTTTTCATGAGTCATCCCTCTTGCTGGGGCCTTCTTGATGATGCAGGGGTCTTTTGAGTCACTCATTTAACCTCAAACTCACCAACTCACTAGTCTACACTCGGGTGGAATAATTTCTTCAGTCTGTCATAGGTTTCCCCGCCTAGGGTAAATACATATTTCTTTCATCCCCCAACTACAGAATAAGCATCTTGCTCAGGGGTGTGTGCTGGAGAATAGAGGGAGAGCTGACAGAGGAAGTTTCTGGGTCGCCATTGACACTGTCTGTTCCCTGACTCTTTATCTGCTGGTCATAATTGTTAATAAGGAAGCTCCCAAGCATTCATTTGCTAACTTTGCTCCTAACTGTAGGCATAAATTGCTCCAATTTGATGTGGCTAGATTCTACAGGGTGCCAGTGGGCATATTTGCCATTCTTGGCAGTCTCCCATGGAACTCTGTGACAATCTGCCTTGTCAGCAAATCCTATCTTGCCTTGCTTTGCAAGGTAGCCTGCCCGTTCGCCCATGCTTAGCTGAAATGAAGACGACGCTGACAACTTTGATGTGGAAAGTCGTGGTTGGAGCAAGGGCTCTGGGATGAGTCAGTGGGACAACGTGGAGACAACAGGGTTTTGACATCGATGGCCACTGGCATGAACCCACTACAAACTGTCTCTTATACTTTCAATCACTGTAATGAGTGATGTTATGTCCTATGCTGGTTAGGTGGTTTTGGTGCTGGTGGAGGTTTTCTCGTTTGTTTTCTTTTTTTGTCAATTTTCTCAGTGGAGGGTCTTTCTAAGATTTGTCTGTAGTCATTTTATTGATGACCTCCTGATTCAATGAGAGATCCATTCTCAAAAAGTAACATAAACAGTGAGTAAAGAAGCCTTTTCTGGCCTCAACACATACATGTACTCCTGTGAATACACACATACAGACATGCACACTCACACTCACACTCACACACACAAATATTTTGGCTTCTTAAACAGTGACGAGTAGAGATGATAAGATGGCTTCTCTACTGTCGGTCCAGGAACTTCACCCCACTGCTTACTTTGTAATTTCATATACAGAGATATTACCATGGCACATCCAGGTGGTTAAAACCACAGTCTGTAGCTGGGAAGAGGCAACGGGGGTAGGTAGGCACTGAAAAGGGGGGGCAGTCAGCACTGGGGTCAACCCGATGGCAGCTGAGTCTTGCTTTTCTTTTCTTCAGAAGAATCTGAAATTTTTACTTTTGTGTTCTCCCAACAGGACATTTCAACAGCTCCCAACCATCCTCGGCGCCGCACTCCCCTTTACCGACTATACCACCATCTCCAAGGCCTCATCTACTCTGGGGTGTCCCAGAGCCCCAAACCAAGCCCACATTTTTTTATGTATACATTTAAAATTAGCAATAAAGTCAATCATTTCTGATATGGTTTGATTTGGCAAAGTAGAACTTCTCAACAAAAGTAATTAGTGTTAAATCTTCAGTGTATCAGAGAAAAATGGTGCTAATGAGGAATAGATGTTATAATGAAGGTCAAAGGCAACATTCCAATTGCAGGTTTTTGCCAAGGGCTGGAAATAGGGTATCTGAATTATGTTGCAAATTGGGAGTTGGGAGAATGAAACCTCGGTAACTGTGAGTAACATGTAACCCAGGCTGGAAGGAATTTTTATCTTTTTCTCTCAACTTTCTCCCTTCATGGGTACAGGCTGGAACACAAAGGCAACTTTCAGGTTTTTAAGCTATCTAAAATATTAATTTTAAAAATCTCATAAAAGATAGTCTCCACTTAGTAAACTGGAAGAAGTGGGTATTTGGGGCTTATCCGAGGAAGGTGCTCTGTTTTTCTTTGTATATCCAGTATGGAGAGGAATACCATTCCTTTCCATCAGTCAATAAGTCTGAGCAAAACAAACACAAGGAGAATATGCTTGTCCTATAGCTGTCTCCTCCTGACTTAAACAGCCTGTTCAGGACTGAAGCTTGTTAGGACTCTGGGAGGAAACAAACTCACAAATATAAGGAATTCAATAAAACCTACGGATCTCAGGAACTACCTGAAACTTAACAAGACTCACAGGCTCCTTCTCAAAGTAATATAAACAGTGACAACTGGTGGGAAATGATCTCTTCTGACAATCCGATCTGCTTGTAAGTGCATAGGGAGCTCTAGGGATGCAGCTTCAGGCAAGGGATGCAGATTTCAAGAGTTGCCACCCTCGAAGGAATAGGCTTTTCATTGATGTCACTACCTTGAAGTCACACTCGCTTTTGTAACTAACCCCTAACTCATATTCCTATAGGTATCCCTAATAAATTCACCAGTTCGCTAATCCAGATTTGGGTGGAATTGTTTGTTTGGCTTGTCAAATCAGTGTCACATCTGGGGTGAACAGTCATTTGTTTGTGTTTTTTCCAGGAAAAGTCACACACTACGTTTCTGTCATGTTTCTCAAAGTCACATTTACACTGTCAATTCAGGGAATGGACGTTCATATGAATTGTATTTGCCACACCATTAGTTAAAGGCAGACAGCTCCGGTCCCTATACTGATATGCACTGTTCATGGCAAAAAGAAGAAATCTGTGCCTCACAGTTCCTGCCTACCCAACTCCTGAGCTCACACCTGTAGTCTAAGTCTTCTAGTTCCACACATGAGCATTTTAGCCCAGAAAGAGTCTTCTTCCCACAAGCTCCCTCGGTCAGTTGTGTGAATGAAGTAAGATTTCAGAATTTGCAGCAGGGATACTGCTTAGGGTGACCACAGGGCCCCAATGACAAGAACTTTCATAGGGAGGCTCTTCTCCACTAATGAGCACTTGAATTCTTGTTTTGTTTGTGAGAAGAAACTGACCATGTGTAGAAGCTCCAGAAACAGGTGAACTCTGCTCACTTCCTGACTGGCTGATTCTTTTGTTCTGAGGTCATTGATATGGGAAGGGACTCTACAAGGATGTCATCCTCAAGTGTCACTAACCACAATACATTTCCTTGTCTGCATCTTATTCAAAACTGAGAACACCACAGAAGTACCAAATACACCTCTTCCCATACTGCTATGCTCTTGGTTTAGTCACTAGGAGCTGGCCCTACACTGTGGCCATCTAGTTCCAATGCCTTGACTACAATGTCTCATTTTTTTATATTATACTCTCAACAATGGCCACATAGCCATCATCATTAGGTAATGTTAATAGAATCACACAGGAAATATGGCCACCTTCTCCAGCAAGAAATCTGTTTTCCAATCAAGATGGAGAAGTGAGAAGATAAAACAAGACTGTCAAGGATGCTCCTTTGATGACCACCATGAAAAACACTATGATTACAAATTCATGAGCTTGAAACATAGCCTCCAGATGGAGAACATCTACTAAGCATTGAGGCCAGAGTACACAGGTGTGTGTCAGAGGCTAACCACACAAGTCTCTAAAGCATCAGCCAGCATTCCTACAAGAGAATCAGAAGGAAGCAAGATGGTGTGAACAAAGCTTAAGAAATCCATTCATGGAGATTTGGTAATTAAAGTCAGCACTCAAATCAGGGCTCAGCCAGGACTAATGATAAGGCTTTCTTTCCTCCATCTCTTCTAGTATGGCAAATGCCAATATGGTCCCCCAGCCCTTCCTAATTACAAAGGGCACTAAGTAGCAAAAAGAGGAGGCGAATCAGTCTAGAATGAACCACAGATGTGATCAAAGGGGTTCTCCATTTTTCCCTAAGCAAGAAAGAACTATCTTGCATGTCTTAAAGGACTTTGGAGTGAGGGAAGGAGCAGGAAAGACCTCAGAGTATTGGAAAATGGAATTCAAACATGAAGAGGATGTTTAGCTCTGGGGAGCTAAGAATAAATACAACTCAACTCTAGGAATACAGGACAGGCACAGGGGGAGAACAAAAATAGCACCTAGAAGCTGACCCACGGGCAGTTAGAACATGTTTTCCATTAGGTTGAGGTTATGCCAGTGGTCATATAACTGGAATACCATAATCCCTTACAGATGCCAATGAGCAGAGTCAGAAGGTGAGTCTTCAAAACTGCTTTGTTGGAGATCTGGCTATCTGAGAATACAGTAGAACAATATCTCCACAAGTCTGTCTTGCATCGTTTCATCTCCAGCAGATTATATAGGTAGAAGAGGAAGGGAAGGGGGAGAGCGGGAGAGCTCAGGCTCACTCATCTGGTCAGTTGGCCAGCACATTTCTGAGACTTGTGAGGTCTGTGCCTCTCACTATCACTCCTTGTACCCTTCCCTCATTCTTTAGCTGTCTGGGATCAGGCACTTCTTGAAATGCTGAGTCTAGTTAGTTCCAGCTGGAATCAACCTTGTATTCCTCCTGGGTAATGTGAGGTGGGAAAGGGTGAACCCAGAGCAAACCAACCATGGATGCTGAGCACATGCAGAGCTGGTAATAACATCCGTGTGCTGATTCTTTGCCACAATGCAGGGCACAATTGCATCTCTCTAACAAAATCTGAAACACTCCTATTCACCCGCCCTGTCACTGTGAATCAGAAAGGCAAGATAAAGCAGAACGTCATGGAGAAAAGCAGCTGGCACTGGCAAGCATCTGACAGTGTGTGGAGTATCCAGGGCTGGATGTGGGGAAGTTGAGGCTGTGGTTGAGCAGCTGAAGTTCTTAATTCCACATCATTGTCACCGTTCTGAGGCAATGCAGAAGGCAGGCAGAAGCTGATCAGCCCGGCTTTCAATGCAAAGGGTCAGCTGATTCCCTGATGTTTTAACAGTACACACTACAGCTTTTGTGATGCCTGCATTACAGACCTGGTGGCTGTCTCTGTCTGAGTACCAAGGTAAAGGTGAATGTTTGCTTGGCTTCCACTCGACTTTCTATGACCTATGACTTCTCTGCAAGAATCCTGGTAAGGTATCTTTGCAATCCCTTGGTATCTGATCAAGTTTCAGCCCCCAGCATGGCAGGGAAAAGGGAAAAGGTGGTGTCAAGATTAACATGTCGAATTAGATATTGGAAGGTTGAGAACATTTAACTGTCTTCCAGAGTTCAGTTCCCAGCACCCATGTTGGCCCATAACCACCTGTAACTATAGCTCCAAGGGATCCTACACACTCCTCTGGCCTCCCAAGGCTGCACACATGCCTCTCACACACATAAATATAAGCATAAAAGTCTTTAAAAAAAAAAAAAACCTAACCTGTCAAAGAAACTATTTGAAAGAGGATTGGGCACTCTTCCTGACTTTGGCTACATGTAACAAACAGATCATGTGTTTAAGAAAGGCCTGTGATATAGAAACACGAGAGAAGGTGGGTGCTATGTAATGATACAAAGTCAGAAAACTCCTGCTGTAGCACTTTTGAACATATGCCCTTCCCCCTGTTCTCAGGAGTGTCTTTCTAAAACAAACAACAGCATAGATGTAAGGTCATCTTCTTGAATTTCTATTATGCTGGGGTGTCCAGGGCTGCTCGCCCCTGGATGGCTGCGTTCTGGAGGTGCCATATTGCTCTGTGTTTTGTTGGTTGAGCTTTTACACTGACCTCTACCCATTGGGCTGATTTAGGTGTTGGCTGTTAGTTTCTGGTGCTTTCTGAAATCCTGAGGTAGGGAGAATCCCCTTGGCAGGAAGATGATTTTTCCTGAAGGAGGCCTCCTCTGCTTTTTGGGTATGGTCACTGTATGGCCAGTGTTTCTCAGAAATTGCCACTGCTCACCTCAGGCATGTAGACCTGAGTAGCAGCTGTAGTCTTTGTTAGTCAGGGGGGCTCTCCTCTCACCTATAGAAGTCCTCAAGACAGTTGCCTTGCAGCTGGGTTTCTCGTTCTGAATTTAGTGAGCTGCTGCTGTTGTTACACTGTTTTCCAGGTACAGCCCTCTTGAAGAACCTGCTGATTTCCTAGCTGTGGGGTTTTCTCCCAACAGGGGAACTCAGTCTGGTACCTTGGGGCACACAGTTCTGTCTGGGAAGGTGAGAGGAACGCCCAGCGAGTCTCTGGGCCAGAGGCTGAGTGCTCCGCTCTGGGCCAGGAGATCGTGCGCTCAAGTTTGAGATGGTGGCGGGGGCACCGCTCTGGTCGGAAGGCTGTGCACCCCCATCTGTGATGGTGGCTGGGGGCGCTGCTCTGGTCTGGAGGCTGTGCACTCCTCTCTAGGCTGGCAATTGAGGGCTCCACTCTGGTCTGGAGGCTGGGCGCCTCACTCTGGGCCAGAAGCTGTGTGTCCCTGTCTGGGATTGTGGCTGGCAACACCCTTCACAATAGCCACAAAAGACATAAAGTACCTTGGTGTAACCCTAACCAAGCAAGTCAAAGACTTGTATGAAAAACAATTTCAAGTCTCTGAAGAAAGAATTAGAAGAAGATATCAGAAGATGGAAGGATCTCCCATGCTCATGGCTTGGCAGGATTAACATAGTAAAAATGGCCATCTTACCGAAAGCAA